CACACACACACACATGCATGCACTATTGTGCTCTTTTAATGAGTGTATCAGAGAACAAAGCTGATAAAAATGTGTGCCATAGCCCAACCTTTAAAAAGAGAATAAGAAGTGGGCTACTGTGCTGCCATGCGGCATCCATAATCACACTGCACACACAGCACATGCACCTTGCATACTGTACTGTAATGAAACAGACAGACACATACACTGACACAGTTATACATGCTACACACAAACACACAAATGCAAATTTACACAAATATATAAATACTGTGCATGCCACTCTGGGTTTGACACTTTACTCCACTGTACTGGATGGTTTTGACATCTGCATTTGCATTCCACTTCCTCTGCAGAGTGCATATGCAAGTATACACAATCAAACATACAACCTACTTTTTGCAGTCTGTGTAATATTCTGCTAACATAATATATTATCCAGTATATGTTTGTTTAAAATTCCCTCACAGCGCCTACAATTCTTGCTTTTTTCTCCTCTCTCTTTCCTTTCATCCCCTTTTCATTTTCTCTCATTATCTCACCTTCTCTCTGTTCTTCCTTATGATCTTTTTCTCTCTGACCTATGTCACTCCTTGATGTTGTTTTGGAAGACACAAACAGCGGCCATTATCTTTGTCTCACTTTCATCACCCTGCTCGTTTTTCTGTTAGAAACAAGTGCTTGCTCCTGAGGTGTCTCTTCTCTATCTTTGACTTACTCCTGCCTATTGCTGTCAGTCTATTCCCCACCAGGGGGCAGTGGTTCTACACTGATGGCTGAGCGGAGGTATCAGGCTTGGTTGGAGCTGACACATTCCCAGGAAGTTCCTGAGCATAGCAGGCGACGGAGCTGCATATCAATGAGTCATGATGAATAATGAAGGTTTCGAGGAGGGGAGAACATTTTGTTATTAATGTGAATCTGTTGTCTTTCATTTAGATTGCAGAGTTAGTCCCTTTGTCAAGAGAGGTGTGTTGACACACTCTTATGGTGGGATGGTAATTTACTCTGTGTGTGCGAGACTGTGTAGAAGTGCACACGCATCAGAAGCTGTCACTCAGCTGTAATTAGGGAGTCTCTCCTACTGTCCTCCGACAGTGTTTGAATTTACCTTGCAAACACTGTGCAAATGTACTGTGTGTGTGTGTGTCTGTGTGTGTGTGTGTGTGTGCATCAATTTGTGTTTATGGCTTTTTCATCATCTGATTTATTACCGGTGAATGTTTTAGCTATGAGGCTATTCTGCAGGTTTTTCTTATGTACACACATTTTGGAATCAAATAAAGTTTTACTGTTATGTACACTGTTTTAGTGTGTCCATCTGTGTGTGTATGTACATGATGTATGAGGGAGTATGGGTGTGTGAATGTTTGTGAGAGATAGAGAGGGAGTGCTGTGTGTGATGTCTAGAGTGGGGATCACATTCAGCCTGGGGGTAGGTGAACCTATTGTAAACAATGGATCTGACAGAATCTAGGCCTTCACATCTCTACCCTTGCGTGTGTGTATCTGTGTGTATCTTTGTGTGTGTGTGTGTGTGTGTGTGTGTGTGTGTGTGGGCCTTAATACATGCCATTGGAGGCCACTGAGGAACCCCAAGGCAGGCTGGCCTCTCCGACTGAGTGTCTTTGTACCTCGTCTCTCCAGGGGCTTCATCTGTTTGAGGTGAGGAAGAGGAGAGGCAGGAGGAAGAGGAAGACGAGCTGAGGTGTGAGTGAATGCAGCCATGGCCTGTACACCCTGTCCATAGAGGAGCTACTGAGTGGAAGAGAGATCAAAGAAGACAGAGACAACCAACAGGTGAGACGTCATCCTGCGCAGATGCACATCATGGCAGGAAAGATCAACCCAAGAAAAAAACATCTTGTGCTGCAACTATCATTAATTAAGACATTTATTTTTCAAATTATTGTCTATAAAATGCTCACCACGAGTCCTGAGAAGTCAAGTTAACATCTCCAAATTTCTTGTGTTGTCCAACCAACAGTTGCAATAGTTCAAAACTAACAGTTTATTTAGTAAGATATTGGATTTGTGTGAATATAAAACAGAGAAAAGTAGCAGATTTACACATTTTAAGGCTTAGCACCAGCAATTGTTTAACTTAAACAATGAATCTATTATCACAATTGTTGTCTATTAATTTTCTGGTTGAGCGATTAAATCCATTAGGCATCTATTGGTTTCAGCCATATCAACATCTAAACCGCAACAGAGCTCAAACGATCAATAGAAAATGACTCCGCAACTGTTTTTGATAATTGACAATTGATTGTTTCAGTTATTTTTCTGAAAAATGCTTACTGTTCACTGCTGAAATGTGAGAATTTGCAGCTCTTCTTTGTCATATAACAGAATATATTATAGTTTTGGACTGAAACAAAGACAAGTGATGTGATGGATGATTATCACTGTTAACATTCGATGAATCAAGAATATAATCTACAGAATGATCACAGATCAAAATCATTATTATAGATAAAAATTAGTAATGGTCCTAATCCACATAGTATTATTTCTGGGCTGAGCCTAATATTTTTTTTGTAACCTGTCATGACTCATGAAGTCTACTTTTTTGTAATTGACTGCTGCCAGGAGTTTATCCTAATGTGATGCGAATAGCTATAAAAGGATGCTGGTAGCATAGCAGTAGCGCTGGTGAGGTAGTTATATCCACAGTATGTGTATCTATGCTGGAAGAATATTTCTCTCTGGCTTGTAATTTTTTCCATTGACCTTTGCCAACTCACCTCTCACATTGTTTCTACTTGTTCAAAAAGCAATATTTTTATGTTGGTGTGCTATTCTGCCCCGTCTTTTATGGGGGGACAGGTTCTAACCTCTTCTCTTGCCCTCTTCCTCCTCCTCTCCCCTCTTTGCCCCTCTCTCTCCTCTCTATGTCTCTCAGGATGAAACTGTGGGGGAGGTCAGCTTGGCCTTTGCAGGTGGCCTTCCTCGTTGCCTTGGTGATGCTCTGTGTTGACCCGGTGTCCGCTGGCAGCCGTAACCATCGGGGACCGACAGGTACACCAGGTCTTGCTCCGAACCCCTCTTCCAACACTATGAGAGGTTAATTACACTGTCACTGCAAAGGTACAACACATGTTCCCTGAGCATGTCGCTGACTGAGTCATCCCGATCCAGGAGGAGGGGCCTGAGCGGGGACAATTTACTCTGTCCCTTAGTATGACGTAATGTAATCTAGACGAGACCTCGTTTTTGGCTTTGATGCAAACACACCCCTGTTTGACTGATCGAGCCTGTACAGATACAAATGGCACTTAAGCTGTCAGGGACTGTCAACACAAATACATCAGTGTGGGTGCGATCTGATCTATTCAGAGTGGTTGCAGACATCCAGCAGATGTAGTTCTCAAGCATCCTGATTCCTAGTGGTTTAAGGTTGCTGTAAAATAGAGTCTATGCCTCACGTGGAAGAGGCCATGAAGGCTCATGACTTGTAATCCTCAGGCTCATAATTGCCAATGCCTACATTAATATGCATAGCTCTGCAGTACCCCCTTCAACCAAAGCACCACTTCACTTATTCCCTGAGCAATCCATGAAAAAAAGATAGAAACCATAGCCAGCCGTGACTTAATAGAGGCCCACAAGCTAAATCTATTCTCTGTCTTTAATTTCCATAAGTCATGGAGACATGCCACTCCCCCCAACCAAAAAATGACCAACACAGTCTTATTAATATTTCATAGGGGCTGGCTACAGGGACAGTTGTGCTGAGTCACAGCATTATTGTGCCTGGACTCGTTGGCGACAACCTCCCAAGTCACCTCTTCCTCACACTTAATTATGACAATTTCCTTAATTATCTATTGGTTCCTACACTCTCACTGCTCGTGTTTTGCAAGGTGACCTTTATGTGCCACAGAAATGCTACCAGCATCCAGTCTGTGCAGTGAGTGATTGCATTAGTTTCCTTTTGACGGAGAGGAGGCAGCCTGCTTACGGCAGGGACACTACTAATTGCAGGCCCTGTGTATAGTGAAGGTCAGGATGGGTGCCTGCCCCCTTCTTATTTCACTCTCGCTGTGAAACAAGATGACTCGTTCCCCAACTGACTGGTGCTTTTTATTAGAAGATTTACTCTAATTGGTGGAAGTTTAGGACTTGTTGGCTGTGAATACCAACATGACAGCGGTTTGAGGCTGAAAAATAATTGGCTGTACGTTATGACTGCTAGATAAGTTTTCTGTGTTTTTGCTGCTGTTTTGTTGGCAGGTCAGTGGGGTGTTTGTTTAATCCATGGTGATGTACCAGTTGCTGCCACATGGTGGCTCTAGAGGTCAAAAAATGTTCCTCTAGAACTATATGTTTTTTCTTATCTTAGTCTGATTTACTCAGTGTTATTCTCAGAGGCAATCTATCTTTTTACAGACACTCACTTAAAAAACAAATGTATAATGGGAATGGATGAAATGAATGTCAGCTAACAATACAGATATAATATGACTGATAGTTGTCACTCAAAATAAATGTGGACAAAAATAACATTTGCTTTCTTGTTATTTTCTGACAGCACTCTCATGCGAATAAAAAATATAGAATGAACCACTTAACCTGTTCCTGCTTACAATTATAATGTGTCTATATTTTCAGCACATGTGTTGGGGAAAAAAAAAGATTTTTGTTAACTTTTTTTCTCACCTGCAGATAGCAAGTACTGGATACATCTTAATAAATATATATGAATAAAAAACATTTCTTGAAAAATCTCACAGGAAGGAGCTTTCCCCTCTCCAGGTCCACGTTTCAACACTCAAACATTCAGCACACAAAAATGATCAGCTAATCTATTCATTACTCTCTCTGCCATTTTCACAGTTGGTCCTCTCACAAATAGAACAGTGCTGTGTAGAAAATTATGAAATATATTGCCAAACATGCAGCAACAAATACTTCAGCACACTCATATAATCTTCAATTCTATTAATTTGTTCTTTTACTGTATTTCATAACAATTACACGGCACAATTCATAAGCAGGTCACACAATAAATTGCATTCCAGGAGCTGTGAGGGTAATCCAACAACTTTGCTGGTGAAATGATCAGTTGTGCTCTTACAGCTTTAAGTAACATTCTCCTGTATTTTGACAATTAAATCTAGAGCACTGAAATTCTCATATGCCCTTTTTTCTTTTCTTGTTTGAATGTTTGAAATTGGATTATCTGCAACCAGCAGTTCAGTCACTAGCTTGCAGAAGGGATATACTTCCATGCAAAACTAATAGTTTGTATGGCAGCTTTCCACAGCTTGTTATAGCATGCCTAGCAAACCAACCCATTTTTGGTTCAATGCATTGTTGATCTCAAATGATATCTCCAGAAATACACATTTCTTCATGAATTTATGGAGTGTTAGCAGGTCCTCTTGTGCCCTTCTTGGGTCATGTGTGGAAAACCATACAGAGCTCTTTCTGCATGAAAAGGGCTACTGTCACACTCATGTAAGCAAGCTTGTTGTAGCCACAACTGTGTGCATGTGCGTCCATGCATGTTTATATTTGAGCATTCTGTACACCAGTCAGTGTGTTGTTATCTGAGGCTGCTTATAAGATGTCTCCTTAAAAAACAAGGTCTTAGAGAGCAGGTTTTACTGGGGATAGATTTGTTGCGCAGGAGTACTCAGCCGTACCAGCAACCTGTTATGATAATTAGCATAAAGCCTGTGGGCCTGTTAAACACTGATAATGTCAGGAGGATTGATGGGCTGTGTAGGATCAGGGTGAGGGGGAGATGGAGCAAAGTGGAGGAGGGGAAAGAAGGGCAATGAGTGATCTAAGAGGTCAAATAAAGAAAGAGAGGAGGAAGGGATAGAAATAATAACATTAGGTGATTCAACAACTTGGTGCAATATGTAAATATGTTGATTTGTATTAGAGAGGATATGGGAAGATGTTTGACATGGTGTCCCACCTTGTTCCACAACCGATCACTGTAATCTCGCTCTCTTGAAACTTACCAGTGTGTTCCTACACAGACGCAGCATGTCCCCTCTACGTCGACTTTGCCGTCTCCGACAGATTTGCTAGATATTTGGCCTTTCATAGCCGTGGACATGCTTGTCGGGTATTGACAGGGGAAAGACACAGCTTTTTGATAAATTGCACAATGCTCCTGCTTGCCTGTGTCTGTCAGACTACATCAATCGCCTGACTAACCCATCAGTTCAAGGTAGCTTGGTCTGTTTGCTGCCCTGCTACTGTTGCCCCCCTCACCCACCCCCTCCCCAACACCCACAACTCCCTTTGCCTGCTGCGGGAATAGAAGCATTTAGCCATGCTTGAGAAGTCTTTTCATCTCAGCGTGTGCTGGGCTCTATTACATTGAGATGGCCATAACAGAATGGTTTAAAGGCAACATTGAGACATTAGATACACTGTTATTATGTGAATATAGCTGGAAGCTGACTGCTCAACACATGAATCTTAAGTAGATGAGGAGTGAGAGGCAGCAAAGCTCTGAATGTGTGGTTGGTGGAGGAAGACCAAAATGAGAGGGCTCACAGTCAAGCTCTAATACTTCAGTCTGCACTCCACACAACATTTCTGATGTCTGGGACTCGATTCATTATTTTTGGTTTTGGTTACTACTAGATATTGACCCAACTTTAGCTTTCGTTGCTGAAAAACTCACTTCTCAGTGATACGTACGTTTCTTTTATGACACCTGTTGACAATTTTTTTAGTATGATTGTATGGCTGCACGGATCACAAAACACATGTTATGAATGAAACACACAAATCAAATTTTTGCACCAATGTGTAAACTGAGACAATTTTGATGACTTTCCCTTTTAGTTACGCTAACGGATATTGGTCTGTTTCACCTAAACATCAGCATAATTCAGCCCAAAGTGCCGCTTTGCCTACGTATAGACCATACAGTCCATGATACAGACTCACATAGCTGCTAGTGTGGCCGTAGGCTCATAGGCTTGTTAAACTGAATATGAAATGCAACTCCAACCACATCTATGTGCTGTAATTCACCCCAAACATGTGTGTACCATGCACTAAAATGATTCATATTACAATATGAGAGTCTTGCAAGAATGTTTGCTATAAAGACCAGACATTGCTTTACACCTCTGGTTTCCGGGCAACAAGAGTTGGTGGATTTTGAGTTCATTTCTCCCACATGAAATAGATTTTGGCTGTAAACTCTGTATGGCTCTATAACCTCTATTGATTGATTACATACCTTGGATGCTCAAGGGTACAATTTATATCTGTGCTGTTCCTTGAAAGATATTTGCTTAGGCCCACAAGCACACAAACATATCACATACAGTAATTTAATATTGATGTATCCACCTACTTTTAACATATTTCAGAAATAAGTGTTTGGATCTCCAGAACATTGGGGCAGTATGATGAAACTTTTGTCTGCATGGGAGAAAATGCCAGAGACGATCAGGATGTCATTGCTATAAAACACAAATGTAACTAAGACACACACTATAGTTTTATTCTTTACTCACAATTCTGTGACACCACATATAAACTTGCCACCTCACCTTTATTGGATTTTTTGCACTGAGGATAAACAAATCAATATTTTGAGATATAATGTGATAAGTTGAATGTAGCTCATTATTCAGGTCTGAAGGAATGAGTCATTTTTGGGGGTTTTAAATGCACACACAGCTAGTTATCATGTCTGCACTCACACTCAGAAATCAAGTGGCCTCACACGCAGCAAAGTGGAGAATAAGACAACTCTAATAGCTGCATATGATTGACTTGAACTTGTCTGGCTGATATAAATCTTACTGAAGTCGTTAAATTGTGAAAAGTGTGAAAGTGATTTGATGACATTTCAGAAATATTTAGCTGACTGCAAAAAGAACCAAGTTTGTCATATTTTACTCATCTTTTTATTCCAAGGCAACAAATCATCATCAGTGTATTTCTGCATGCGGTTTATTGTGCTGCTCCCTGATGAAGGCAATATCCGATGTACACTGAAGATGTTTTGAGAGTCCTTTTGAAATTACCATGAA